GGGAGAGCAGTGGCGCCTTGTTTCAGCAGCCCCGGAGCTGGGGGGTCTGGTCTGCGCTCAGCCAGGAAAAAAGCGCGCCCAGCCGGTGTCGGGCCCAGTGGACATTTGTCTTTTCTGTACCTCTGACGCGACGGCTGTGTTTCCTAAGCGGCTGAGGGGCGGCGTGCGGGTTTCTTGTGGTTACCCTGAGAGAACAGACTTGATTCTTTCCAGAGTCGGCAGAGTGAAGAGTTGTCAGGACACTGAAGGCGACCGAGGACAAAAAGGGTAAGTAAATGGATAACTCCAAAGTTCGTAGCTGACAAATTATAGCTCCGTTATATTAAACAGGATTTTTCCTGAGATAATATCATTCATGCTAATTAATATGGTTGCATAGGTGGCAATCGAAGGCAGAACTCAGGCTAAAAGATACCCTTCCACTCACGTGGCCACGTTCTTAAATTATCAAGACTTCGGCCTTTAAATGTTGAATATTGAACAGGAGTAACATCTGGTAGCTCTTTTGTTTAAGTGTTAGCATAGCTGGTATGCCAGAAACAGTGTTTTCTTGTCTTATTAACAAGATTACATAAAAATTGAACATCCTTCTGAATAACACGGGAAGAACACAAGAAAAGTTCTGCATGTGGGAATGAACACCTTTAGCCAACTCTGTCATCAAGTGGGAAAACAGAACGTAACGGAGCCAATCAATTCCTGTTTTGGGTCACCTAAGGACATGTCCTTTTGGTTTCTCATTGCTTTTGTAGGGCATGGAGGGTCAGGAACTGCCTTATGTGCTAATTGACTGTATAGGAGGGAAGCACGGAGTATATGAAGACCATGTTGAATTTCTGGAGAAACATTTTCATCTCATCACCATGAAAGAGTATCTTGAAAACAAGAAATTTCTCAGCAAAAAGATCAGAGCTGTTTATATGTGGTATCACAAACCAGTTATTAATGAAGAGCTGCTCCAGAGCTTGCCTAACTTGAAGATAGTCGCAAGCTCTGGAGTGGGAATAGATCACTTGGACCTGAACCTCCTCTCCAGCCATGGTGTGAAAGCGTCCAACACTCCATTTGTTGTCTCCACTGACACGGCAGACTTGGGGATGGCTTTGATGCTGGCATCTTCCAGGAGACTTGTGGAAGGTAATAACTGATACGGTTTTAGTCTTTTTATAGGAAAGGTGACTCTTCAAAACATGCAGTTAGAAAGTGTGTGCTGATGCAAAGGTAAGCTTAAAAGTAGAAATACAGGAAAATCCAGGGATGAGGAAAAAGTTAAGACAAATCTGTCATGTCGACAATATCTTGCACGCAGCGCATACCATTTCCAAACAGGCCTGTCAGCAAGGTAGATGTGTTCCTTCTTCAGACAGCCCTAAATTCCGGCCTCTTCTCCCTCAGCCCGTAGCCACTTACTCATTCTACTTGTTCACTGCAGTCTTGCTTTTCAAGTTTTATTAAAAGGAGATATTTTCAAGGACGCTTGCAACGTGTCTTTGCCAAGCTGACATGTATCTGAGTCACTAGGAACAAGCTGTCCAGAAATCTGTCCACCATGCTCTGTGTTTCTTTTCCCCACCAATTTTAGTGTGTCTGCAGGACACAGCTGGGAATCGTATTTTGGCTTACTGAAAGTCTTGATGACACTACAACTGACTCATCAGTTGCGCCATTCAGTATTTACAATATAGGTGACATCCGTGGCACTGCCAGTTTCATAAGCCCTGCTGATGAACCACCATGAGTAAGAAGCTGCGTTGCCGAGGTGCATTTCAATGGCGCAGTAAGCTGTACTGCAGGCAGAGAGAGATGATGGGCAGGTGTGTGATGTACATCAAAGGGAGGTTGCTGCTTTGGCCTTGCCTTCCTTGTCTGCCAAAGAGGGGCTGGATATGTTTCTACCCTAAGCAAGAAATGTGTCAGATGTCATGTGTCAGATGTCATGCTGACAGTGCTGCATTATTCACTTCTTGTCCAGCAACACAACAACATTATGTTACTGCTCCTCTGCTTCTGCCTTGTCTTATGATAAAAAGTGAGGGGGAAAAAAGTAACCAGATGCCAGGACATCATTTACATGACATTTTTCCTTCTTTCCCCGCCCTCAAAGGCTATCAGATGGCAGTCTCCCGTGACACGGAGTATTTCCCTGCTGACTGGCTGGGGACTGAGGTTTCTGGAGCGACCCTGGGGATCGTGGGAATGGGCACCATTGGCTACAAAGTGGCTGAGAGAGCCAAAGGCTTTGAAATGAAGATTTTGTATCACAATAGGAATCGGAGGTAAAGCTGATGGAAAGTCTATTTTGTCACTGCTTTTAAACATTATTTGTACCTTTCTCTGTCAAACTGATATCCCGTTCTCTCCGTGTTAGGATAGGATGATGTGCTCTCTGCACTATTGTTATTAAATATTGTGCCAGAAAGCAGCGAGGGCCACAGATCGTGGCCAGGTTCACCCAAAAGTCCAAATCATCAGGTGAGCTCATGGTGATAAGGCAGGGCGGAGGCCAGACCAGGGCTGAGGGGAGCTGGAGACCAGCCCTGCTGCAGCATCGCTGGGGCAGGGGCTGGCGGCCCTGGGGGGAGCTGCCATGGGGTCCTGGGATGGGGGGAAGCCCTAGGGGGCCGGACAGGGACAGCCAGGGCTGGTGGTGCCCTCAGGGCCATGACAATAAGTCACTGCCTTATTATTGGCTCTTTATGTTAAGTGGCAAAGTACATACACTTGCTTCAAGACAGTCATTAATTTCCCAATTTATACAGAAACAAAGTCAGGAAGGAATGGGAGAGATACATCTAGGGACCTGGACAGGCTGGATCGATGGGCCCAGGCCAACTGTATGAGGTTCAACAAGGCCAAGTGCCGGGTCCTGCACTTTGGCCACAACAACCCCATGCAGTGCTACAGGCTTGGGGAAGAGTGGCTGGAAAGCTGCCCAGCAGAGAAGGCCCTGGGGGTGTTGGTCGACAGCC